CCCTGCTCACCACCATTCTTGTCCTCAGTCAATGTCCTATTTAACTGAGTTACACTCTCCAATTCCTTTGGGAGCTTTCCTGGTTTTTAGTCTATCACCTCTATTGAACACCTCTCACAAGCATTGCGTGAAGTCCATTATTTTATTTCATTTTCATTATCTTTACAGTTAAAAATGTCGCACTCTGATTCTTCCAAGAAGTTCACATTACTGCAGTCAACACTGAGTATTTCTGAGATGTGTCATTTTCTGTCAGTGCTTTGCAGAATTTTCCCTCTCCTTTTGTTCCTTGGTTTTATTGGAACATTTTACTCTGCTCATAAAGGATGTGGAGTCTCACTAATTGTAGCAGTTCATGCCTCGCTGCTTCTGATGTGTGTCCAGCTCAGTTCTAATTGTGGAATCATACAGTTTCCTCTCCTTGGCATCCTTTGGAGCAGCACAGACCTGGATCACAGTGGAGTTAAAAGGCTGTGTTCCTGAACAAGTCATGATGGTAATTAAGTTGCCTGGTTTGTAGCCAAGTGGTGCTTTTCTGTCCCTAACACTTAGGATTGTGCCAGTTCCTCTTTTATGCTTTATTTTGTCATGTGAGAAAATGATCTCACTATCTGCTGTCTCTCACTTGCCTGGCCACCTGGCTTTTAAGAGGCCTTCTATGTCATGTTGCTACCTTTGTAATTCATTCATTAGCAAGGATATTTCACCAGGGTGCCAACGCAGTCTTACATTCCAGGTTCTGTTAGAACTAGAGAGGGGAGGTGATTTTTACCTGTTAGACATGCTGATAATAAAATACTACATATAGTTCTGCCTTCCACACTTTAAAAAGGATGCAGGAGAATTTCACTGGATCAGAAAAGTTACAAAAAGTCATTTGAGGGCTGCAGGAGATATGTTCCTAGGAAATGTATAGGGAGCAGAAGATGTTTAGCATATCAAAAGGAAGATGAAGAAGATATATGATTATAGCGTATGAGTACCTTCACTAGAAGAAAACATGAAACACTAAAGGCTTTTTCAACTGGGTAAAGAAAGGCATAAAAAGAACCAAAGGCCAGATATATTCAAATTAAAAATAAATCTGAAATATATTTCTGAAAGTTTAGACGATTAACACACTGAATACAGTTTCAGACAAGTGGTAGATTCCCCTTGAACCTTCAAATTTTCCTCCATGGGAGCTGTACCCTGTTTCTGAGCAATTTGTATCTGTATCTGTAATAACTTTGGCACACAACCTTGATGCATTTGCATGGTTTTTCTCCCCTCTGATCTCTCAAGGCCTGAAAATCCAAATATACATGGTGCCTGGGAATGTTCACATGCAGAACTGATGGGGGGGAGCATGCTCCTAATGCCTCTTTCTGAGGGGTCAGCCAGCCACGGTGGTGGTTCCAGTGCCCCAGTCCAACACTTGTAGTGCTGCCAAGGGATCATACAGCATGGAAGATGCAGAAATATTAAAACTACCCTAAAAACTACAGTTCTCTCTATGATTTGATTTATAGCCATGCTTGGAAATCTGTCTATGGAGTTAATGGCAAATTTTTTGCTGTAATTCTTCAGGCTGACCTCCTTACAGGTGGTGAACTCTTTTCTTTCAGCAGCATCATGTAAGTAATAATTCGTTAAGAAACTGGATTGTCTGAAGTTACTACTGTCTCGTGCTCTCAGTGTGACAGCTGCTGGTCATATGAAACTTATGGCCTTCTCAAAGTGGCTGTAATTTTTCATGGTCCTCAATTTGAGAAAACGAGACAAAAATTTCTCACTCATTCTGCACCACCTTCTGGTAACATTCCAGTTCACCTTCATCCTCAAAGCATCTTTGTTCTCCATGGAAACAGTTGTGGGTGACAAATGTCTTTTAAGAGAACATCTTAACTGATATAAGTCGGCATTGCTAAAGCTTTAAAGATTGGAATACGTGTATATACTGTCAGTAAAATGTAAAGGAGCATTGTCGACTTGAACTTTCCAAAGTTATTTACATTTGGAAAAATTGATATTTTCCAAACAGATACTTATGTTTAGAAGTATTTTATTAACTTCAGTCCCTCTAAGGAAATACAGTAGAAAAAGGAGTTTTGTGGTTTTCCTATTGGTGTCTGTCAAAGTTATTCTAGGACAGGGTTAGTGTTTAGGTAATGCCTTAATAAAACCAGACTTCCTTCCCTTTTTTGGTCCCATACAAAGATCTGGTGAGGACAAAGTAGATTTTATTTTTTATTTTATATTTTAGGGAAATTTGGCATAAGAGCAAACAAAGTTGATTTTTTATCATGAAGAATTCAACTACTAATGGGAAAAATACAATTTCTCTTATAGTGTCTGTAAATTGTGAAGTCTTATCATTTGTCTGAAACGCATGTGTTGTAGATGCACTCACATTACGCTGGATGCTCCTTGAGCCTTGGCACCTTTGAATTAGACACATGTGAGCTTCATACCCTGTAAGGCCAGGGTTGAGAGGACCTGGCAGAGAGTGAGAAATATGCTTTCACCTGACTGTGTACGCACAGGGACATTCTTAACCTGGACTTCCATAAAGTGCAGTGGTGACACTCCTTAATGGAATAACTCTAGAATTTTATCAAATTATCTGAGAACTCTTCAGAGGATATTTTCCCTTTAAAATGGTTAAGGCTTGCACTGGAAAAAAGTTTCCAGAGCATTTCCTACTGTTTGTATGATTTTAGGAAATAACAAGCTGGTGATGGACTGTTCATGGAGATTTATCAAGCAGTCGATAGAGACATACTTCTCAGGTAATTTGTTCTGCTATTAGGAGAATTTCATAGCTGTAGGAAAGGAGCATAGATAAGATTGAATTGTCAGTTGCTTCTTTTAGCCTAAATAAAAAATAACATGATAATGTTGCAAAAGTCTTGTAACTTCAGGAATTAGAGAAATTGTATCTGTAGCTCTGATGTAAACCCTGAAATTTAACACTTATTACATTTTTCTGGTGAATGTAGGTGGGTTTTTCTCCAGAGGGGTTAGTTATTGTTGCCTATTTTTGAGTGAGGACTGGATTATTTCTGCATTACTAGTATCATAATGACTTTCTGATTCTTTTACTGACTTTGAGTTTAGACTGGTTCTTTAAATGATTATTGGTTTGAGTCTCAATATTGTTGCTGAGCCCTACTTTTGAGGGATATCTGTTTTGAAATAAATTATCAAAGAATATTTACGACCAGGAGTATTTTAACCTCCTCGAGCTTTGAATGCTTGATTATAATATTTTTTATCTTAAGGAGGCTTTATATTTCTCCCTGCATCATAAACAAAAATTGGACAGTCTGTGTACATATGCAAAACTTGTATTGACCATCAGCCTGCATTGACAGCAATAGCTTTTTTTTTCCTTACTGTTGTTAATTTAATTTCTCACTCCTTATCATCTGAAGGGTTCAAAATAGAAGGTAAACATTAAGCTCAGAATACTACGTAAGTTAGAAATTTTTTCATTGTAAGATAATTTAACCTTATTACCATATGAGCTTTGCAGTAGTTTAGACAACTGCACAACAGACAGTAAATGTTTTTAAAATAATAAAAGACAGTTTTCCTGTAGCAAATCTAATCTGCTTATGATAGCACAATGCTCATTTTATGAGGCTGCATTTATTCTCATAATGGACTATTTCTTGTCCTTAAATGACTATTTATTCATGTCTGCCACCTTTTTCTCAGTTTATTGACCCTGTGGTGACCACATTATTTTTTCTTCAAAATTAATTGACATTTTATTAAAAGAGTTTGCTAGATGTTTAGTTTAGTGAGTTAGTGGCAAATAGTACGTCACATGCCAGCTTGTCACATTAAATAATCACAGCTGAAAGGAGAATATTCAGTGGCTAAAGTAGATATAGAATATACGCATTTGTTTTATTTCAGTATTGTTACTGTTTTTAGAATAATGTGTTTTGGCAAAACTCATCTTGGGATGCTGTAAGTATTCCAAACAGTGCTTTTTCATAGAAATTTCTGTGCAATGCAAGCTGGCATTACATTGACATGGACACTGAATTTCTATACACACTCAGAGTGGCAGTCTAGGAAAGTTGAAACTTGTACGTTATACAAATTAAAATATTAAAACTTCTAAGCTGTGCACTAATTACTTACCCTAAGGTATTACTGTTTTATTTAAAAGGTTATGGTCAACTCTTTGGTAGCAGTGATACTGTTTTTCTTTCCATGCTTTGCCTTGTATTTCTAAAGACATTGCGAAGCTGTTTCTGCTGTCTGGAATGTATAGAGTCATTCTTCATTAGTTCAGTGTATGGTACAGCCAGAGTTATTCAGAAAGGGATCAAGCAGGGCGGATTGACTTCAGCCACTCTGCGCAGTTATAAGCAGTCCCTGCTCATTACAAAGTGAGACATCTTATTATATACGGGGTTGTGGCATCAGATTTTATCCTGGCTGCCTGCATGAAGCTTTGACCCTGAGCCACACACAGCTTACTGCAAGAGAGCTGAGCTTTTCAGGTAGTGCTAAAGTTGAATTTTTCTATGCTCAGTCATCTTAATGCCATCACAGTTAAATCCACACAGATTTTCTTTTTTTTTTTAAGAAAAGATTTTTACTATCATTAGATGAACAGTATCAAAAATGTTCACATCAAAACTTATGTTTTATATTTATACCAGAGACTTAATTAAAAGTAAAATTTGCACTCGAAGATGAATTTTTTGAAATTCTCTTTGTGTTTGAGTAAGACCTGTTAGCTAATCTTATCTCTAGTGTCTGTACATTCTTTTTAATATTTATTGTTCACTTCAAAACAGGTTGTGTAGCCTTAAGAAAAAAAAAAGGTCCAAAAAGCAGCATGGATTAAAGCTGAAGATAAATTTAGAATTTTTTCCAGAAGCTAGGAGGGAATTTCTACTTACTCGGGTTTTTTTGTCCATTGAATGCAGGTAAGCCAATGTGCTCTTGTTTGATGTAAGGAAAACCACATGCTGATTCAGAATGTGTGTTTCTAGATGCCAGGTTGACCTGTCGACCCTGAGTAAAGAACAAACCCACAAGTTGGAGATGCCACTAGAGGAGGGAGAGGGATACCTGGTGTTGCTGGTCACTCTCACAGCCTCAGCTGCAGTCACCATATCTGACCTCTCCGTTAACTCCCTGGAGGACCAGAAGGAGCGAGAGGAGATACTGAAGAGATATGTATGAAGTTCTCTTTCACCCTTTGTTTGCAAAATGTTTACCTATATAAAAATAACTATCATGAGGGTAAAAATCTGAATATATCTCTTATATTCTAAGAACCCCTTGCCAATGACAATAATTTAAATCAGTTACTAATACAGAAATAGTTACAGCTGGTACAGGTAACATCAAGAGGGCTACAAATGCTCTTCATACAGTAAAGTGTTTTTTACATGGTAATTCAACTGTTTATGACATAAGATGTCATGTAAGGAAGTTAATTTTACTGCCTTGCACGTAATTTTTACTAGGCCCAAAGTAAGGGGTCACTCAGCAAATGTACACTTTCTAGTGATTTTTTATGCCAAATAGTTTGAGTTGCCAGTAGTTTACAGCTTTTTTTGAACATCTGTTAAAAGGCAAGAAAACTTTTTTTTTGCCTTCATATTAGAGGCTGAGGCAGTATTTTATATTGTCAAACTAATTGTTTTAAACAGTATTTCCATTTCAAAATATTCTGAAGCAAATTATTTCCATTTCCCAGCATCCTCACATTACACAGTATCTTTGTAATTTTATCAAAGCAACAGAGAGGGGAGCTCTTACTCCAGCATTTGCTAGTGCCTGAATCCCTAAAAGTAACTGTTTCACTATGCATGGAGAAAGAAAGAAAAAAAACATGCTATTTCCACTTACAATTACAAAGCTTTTATTGTACAATGCTGCCAGGTGTTTAGAAAGGCTTCTCTAGACACTCAGCCATTAAACCAAGCTCTGACTAACAAAGAGCTGCTTAATTTATTTCCAAGATTTTAAAATATTCCTATTCCATGACTGACATCCTTTCAATAACTGAATTTAATAAAGATGTACCTTATCAGGCTGTGCAGATAACATGAAGTGCTAGTACTAATGCTGTACAATATTCTTCAAACAGATTAGCAGGATGTGGCTTCAGCAAATTTATTCTGGCTATCTCCACTGAATCAGCTGTCTGCTAATGCTTGTACAACTCATACACCAATAGTGTTATCATAAACGCAGTTTAATAGAGGTGACTTAGAGAGGCTAAATATAATATTCCTAAGTGAACTGAAAGCTAAGGTATTGTCCACCATCTTTGAAAAATAATTGCAATTAAGAGAGTTATTGCACATTTTGGAATCCACCAAGACAGTCTGTGGTTGTCAGAATAAATATCTATAAGTAGAACAAATTTCCAGTGGATATGTTTTTGAGGTGACATAGTTTTTGCTACCGAGAGCAACAATACCCTGTTTCTGTGGATTATTCTGTGTGGTGATATGGCAGACAAGTGATACTGATGGTTTTGATTATTTCAGTAGCAGTACAGAAACAAGTTACGACTGTGTACTATTAATCAGTTTTCTTAAATTCTCATTTTTTTGTCCCCAGTGTAAAGCATAATTATGTGTAATAATATTGGTCTGCTTTATTCCTGTTTCTTGCATATGCATCGATATGTGTCTTTTCTTACATTGCTGTATGCGTTTGAAAACGTTGATATTTTAGGATAGTATTCGTATTCCAAAGGTGTGAATTTCTCATTATGTGTTTCTGAAAATTGTGGCTTCTACATACCTTTTGGATAAATTCTACTGTTTTTATTAAAATGACCAGCAGAAGAAAGAAATTACCAGGGTTAACACTATTCAAGTAGTTTATTTTCACTGATGTTCAGTTTGTCTTTGGTATTCATATCTCCACTTCAAAATGAATACAAGGGCAACATGTGCAATTAGCAAGACCTACAGTTCCCCACTGAATGGCTGTATTTTTGGTTTTATTTTTTGTCCTCTTAAAAAAATCTAGCTTCCATTAGAGAAATGTATTTTGCACCCTTTCTGCAGCCAAAAACAGTTAATGAGCTGACCTTGCCATCAGATCAAATAGCCTTAAAAAATTACTCTATTACTGTCATTTAACCATTTGTAGCTGAACATCAGAGCCTTACAAATTAAACAGGCATTATTGTTTGAACCATTATTTTACCACAATTGCCTGAAAAGATTAATTCCTTTTGGGGTGAAGAGGGGGACGCATTAATGGGTACAGACCAAGAGAGATTGTATGACCTTTTCAGAACTGGTGTGCTGAACCCAGGGTCCCCCTTGTCACAGTTTAAAAACCAGAGGAGCTAGTTTAGAGAAGTTGTTAGCATTCCATTTTTATTATGACATTTCACAGTCATCTGATTTAATGTCCCTTGACCGGATTGTCCACTGTGAGACGATGGGCTTGAAATGTTATTTAGAGCATTGATAAAAGGTGAGCAGTTCTAAGATGACAGCGAGTCATAAGGCTGGTGGTGTGACATTAATTTTCTCCATAACAGAGATGGAATAAGACGTCATGGTGACAAGCTGTCAATCAGTACTGGCCCCTTAGTGTATCTTGATGCCATAGGATGGAGTATTGCTTCTCCCATAATAGAGCTGAACTGAGATGCTCTCCCTGACAGCTGCTGCAGCCATACAGAAAATATATTATACAGCCTTTCATTAAAAAAATAAAGAGGACTCATCTCCAGAGCATTTCAATCTTTTCCCATCTATTGAGGGCTGAAAAGATTCCCAGCAAATCACAGATTCCTCTGCTATGGAAATCTGAGGCTTCAGAAACCATGTGGGTTTTGATATCTTCAACAATAATCATAAATAAGAAGACAGAATATCATCTGATAAATCATTACTTAAAGTTATGTATTTAAAGTAATGTATTAAAGTAATAGGCTTCTCCTGGAGCCTCTGCTGTGGCATCATATTTTCAGCAGAGTTATGATGTGTGAATGAATCTAAGGCAGCTGACTTGCTGGAACTAAAAGTTCAAAAATAATTATTCTGTGGGATTCTAACGAAGGTGGCAAAGTGAAATACAGCACTGTTGCCTTTCTGAGGAGTGAGCTTACCAGGATTTGGAAAAAGGGGACTGTTTGGCATCATAGGAAGTGGGGGCAGTCACTTGTCTTGCTTTGTGTTTGATTTTTGCTTTGTTTTATTTCTCCAGCTTGGTGTTTGTTTGGTCATTGAGAAACTTGTGTAGAATGTGGAAATATTTTTATAAATTCTTTCACTTTCATCACAGTATTAGACCAGCATTATCTCTGTGGTACCAGTTCTGATAAGAAGCTTCAGAAACCAAACCTGATCATTACTGTTATAAAGGAGGGACAGTGCCAAGATGCTTTGAATTATAACAGTGCTATCTGTAACACCATCTCTGCCACCCTCAGCTTGTAAGCACATAAGCAAGGGTTTGAGTGTGTGCTGATTAAAGTTGACCATCAGTATTTTGAAGTCGTATTTATGATGATTTACTTCTTAAAATAGGTAAAAATTTATTAACTGTTATCCCATGATAACTTGCATACATGTATTTGTATGTATGTAACATGGGCTACTACAGTAGAGTGGATTTCTCAGTTCAGTATAGCAAGATCAGATCTTCACTGTAAACAGTAAATGGTCAGTTGGGGCTTCTAAAATTATTATCACTGTAAATTATCTCTTAAAATTCTCTTAGTAATAGACAGGGATGCTTATTATATGTCTAACATCTTAATGGATAGTTTGTCTATGGATAAACATGCTGGGGTTTTTTGCAAGCTGGCATTTATTATTTCATTTAAGCAACATGTGTGGTTTTTAGATCTAGTGATGTTATTTATTCTGGTTTTCCAAACAGTTAATTTTGCCTAGTGATAAATTAAAGAATTGTTGAGATGGTGTTTTACCTGGTGTTTGCTTTTTATGGAAACTTGGACACTGTCATGGGCAGTGGAAATGTTTCACTACATTAAAATTTTAGGAAAGATGGCAGGCATTAGATGCATTAGTCCAGATTTCGAAATAAAGATATGTGCTAGTATTTATAAACACGACTTGCAAAACAAACAAAAATTAAGCGATGTTTGTATATGGTTTTAAATACATTTGCAATCCATAATTTTACTATTTAATCCTATACTTTGGGATCCTCTCCTAGGTTATCAAACTGAATTGTAAAGCTAGGTTAGTTATTAATGGATTACATATTCAAAGTTGCATTCAGTGTTCTAACATCTGAAATTCTTCAAATTTTAAATTATATTCAGAATTAGAGTTTGGGAATTATAGCTTGTCACACCTAATTAGTGCAATACTTGCAGTTTGTTAGGTTTTGTTATTCAGAAAAAAAGCAGCAACAGAACATACTTTTCAATCAGCTTTCTAAATCTGTGTTAGATGAATAAATGCAAATGTTAGTCTACTCTTAAGTTTTTTCTTTTTAATATACATAGATGTTGAAGAAATTTGTACTAAAGAAATATTATAATTTGTGGTAAAAGCTTTTTACCATTTAATTTGAAACTTACTTCAATTATTTTTTATCCTTTTTGCATGTGATTATTATGAAAATTATTAAGTTGTTGTTATTGTCTCTTGATTGCTTTTGCTCATGTTACTTGCAAGCGTATATAGGCATATATGTTATATGCAAGCTTGTCTATAATAGTCAACTACAAAACAACTATATTGGCCCTAGGTCACTGTTAGGATATTATTGGAACCATCAAAAAGAAAATGTGAACATAGATTTTGCAAAATAATTCAGGGAGAAGAATATTTTTATTGTTTGTGTTAATTTTGTTAATTCACTGCTCTTATTTCAAATTTTGAAGTACAGTTGTTCATATACTATTAGGGGATTGATTCACTAGAATTAATGTTAGATATAATAATTAATATTCTAATTTTTCCTTTGTATTTTTCATTAATAAGTTAAAGTTGCAAAATACAGAAAGAAATGCTGACAACTGTACTTCTTCAGAGAATAATATTTAAAAGTCTGAATACATGGACATATTTACATAGAAACTCGTGTCTGGGCTAGGGAGGAGACTATTAATCTTGCTTTTGGTTTGTCTTTTTTGCAATCCAGAATTATTTTTCTTTTTATTATTTTTTAGAGTCCAATGATGATGTTCCATAACATCAGCGATGTGGGATTTCTTCAGGTGAAGGTCATCAGGGCAGAGGCATTGATGGCAGCTGATGTCACAGGCAAGGATTCATTTAGTTTCTGTGACAGTAAATACCATAGTAAAACTAGGTCTTTTTAGAAATGGAAAAAAAAATGCTTAAAACAGAAGCTCTTATAAACATTATATTCTGTTTGCACAGTTTCACTTTTTGCTCATTAATGAAAAAATTTAAACACAAGCAAACAGAACTTTTGTAAGCAAGGTAGCAAGTCATTCTAATGATAGCATAGCCCTAAATAGGTTATTTCTCATAAGGGCAAAATACACATTTTTCTCCATCAGAGACCTTGTAAAAATTACATAGAAAACCCTTCTTTTTCTTAGTAGATGAAACTATACAAAATTATCAACATTGAAGCTGAATTCCAAGGGACAAGGCAAATGAAAGGTGCTTGACTTAGATACTGCTTTAAAGTTGTTGCCAGAAGAACCAGTTGATATCTTTCAGATGTTTAGCAAGCCTGCTGTGGGTTTCAGACATTTCAAGTACATGCAGTTTACTGTAGCTACCGCTTATCTTTTCAAGAAGGAAAACAATTTTTTTTCTATTCTCCATTTTATGTGATATAAATTGAATAGTTAATATGACATTTAACTTTTCACAATAAAGGGAAATTATTTCAGCCATACTGGCCATATTTCTCCAGAAATGTCAAAGTTAGCTCTTCTAAGTACAATCACCTTCGTGCTGCACAAGTTGAATGCAGCAAAATTTTCTGCATCTGTATCAGAAAACAGCCATCTCTGCTTTAAAAAAAAAAAAAAAAGAAGATAAAAGGAAGCTAGACTTACCTGGTTTAATTGCTGTTAGGGCATAAATGTTCTGTTATGGGAGCAGATGCAGTTACATAACAACTTATTCACTTTCAATAGTTTTTTGATAATTAGCATGACTACCAGGATTTCAGACAAGGTAACAGTGGAAATATTTTATTGCTGAAACTGATCCAGTTTATGGCACACAAAATTACAGATTCTGTTTTTGGGGAGGTTGGAGGAATGCTGCTAAAGATTCCTCACTATGCTTTGACCTTATAATCCAATGTGGTCTGAACAGAGAGAGAGATTAAGTTATTCAGGGGCAAATGGGATAATTCAGTCCCTCATCTCGTTCAGTCTTCGACTTTTTCAAATGAGCATGTTATTTGTGCTGGTTGAACAATTGTTTTGGAAATTACTTTGATTCAATTAAAGATGTACAGAGCTACCAAAAGTTTTCAGACATTGCATTTAGGATGACAATCAGAAAGAAGGGGAAGAACACTCAGTATCTTCCCGTGTCTTATAATAACAAAATATTCTGGTTTTTAATAAGAAAAAGCATTTATACAGCAGATACTAAGATGGCTGCACATTTCAGATGTGACAGAAATCATTATGTATTTTGGACAAAAGTACCTGGCATTTTGAAAAGAGGGCAAAGGGGGTTTATTATCTACTGTAATAATTTATAGCTGTTTTTAGTAACTTGTTGGTATGTACAAATCATTCATTTAAAATTAAACTTTCAATAGTAATATTGAGAAATAACTCAAGGTAGCTATTTGGTGATTGTCAGTAAATCATGTTAGCAGAAATTTTGTAAAAACTTGACCCACCACCCTTACTCAACTAAGCAATACTTACTAGTCAGTAAGGAGAGTGCTGCCATCAGTGGTGTTACTCACACCACTAAGGACTGCTTCTTTGAGTACAAGCTAAGGACTAGTTTGCTTTTCTTACTGTGTTGTGTTTTCAGAGTTAATCTTTTGTCCCTGAGTCTGAAAAGTCGCTAGAACAACTGTATAGTATCTGTGTGGTTTGCTCTGCTTCCTTCCTGCTGAATGCATCCCATTTCACTTCCAGGAATCTTTTCATGTGAAGTAATAAATCAAATTTTATTAGTTTGAGCTGAGTAGATTCTTAAAATCCTTAGTATTCCATCATTAAGCATAAGCACAGACAGAAAAAGATTTCTGTAGTCTTTTAAGTAGTCATCAGTGTTGCAAGGATTTTTTTTTCCCTTTCAAAACATGAAATTTTTCTTTTGTTACTGTACATTCATCGAGCAGCATTGTAATACTGTATTAACTCTGTGTGAATAAAGAGTAATTGAGACTCCTGTTGAATGAATGAGTAAAAAACACAAATTACTTTTTAATGAAACCCTCAATTCTTCTCCTTTTGTCAGAAAGCTCATAGCCTTTTTCAACTGAATGCTACTACAGTAGGTCACTTCAGTTAAGCCCCTAATAAACTGTTGATAGCCGGGGCAGTTTTTTTCTCCAATTTCAATAGTCTGGTGTTGGACAGTGCACTTCAAATCTTTAAAGTTAGTACAGATTTTTTTTTTTTGAAAGGAGAGTGATTAAGGGTGGTGGTTCAGGCCTAAGCTTAGAAGCCTCCTCACATACACATGCATTGAATAGGGAGCCAGAGTAAGTGGAAATTTCAGTTGAATTGTGACCAGGGGAGCAAGTGGGCACTACCAGTTTTGAAATGGGGCACTACTGGAGCATCCTATAACTGGGTATTAAAAATATCCCAGTATAAAATAAAGTCAGTCAGACTTCTCACTCGACCCACTCACAAAGAGGTCTAGGCTTTAAAGGAAGGACCACTGAGGGGTTGAGAGATTCCCCACTGGTGCTTGAAAGCTCACCTTGATTTTGGGAACAGCTGAACAGGGCATCTTTCAGGACTGGGGCCTTTGGGGGAATTGCTGGGTCTGTGAGGATGTTTTCTCAGAGGAAAACAGTGTCTTTCCATGGTCTAAACACAATTTTCCACCAGTTGGATTCCACCAGTGCAAAATTACATTCTGTTGGAAATTATAGTCACAGCAAATACACCTTCCTCAAAATTACATATATTTTAGTGTGATTATTTGGAACTCTAATCTAATGAATGGAAAGATGTTGAGCATGGACTTTACTTTTTTCTTCTTGCTCTGAGAAGAAATTTTCAGTTGAATCTTCCATTGTGTTTTAGCTATTCAATGCATGGCTGTTTTCTCCCTAAATCCTCAGCTATGAGAAGTTATATTTTTCTGTTTCCCTACATCTTTGCTGACTTGTGTTTTCTGTGGCAGACCTTCTCAAGGATTTGGCAGCTTGTGGAGTCCTGGCAGGATAGGAGCTGTGCCTATAATGACATGAAGAAATACTCTGATGATGCAGTAAAACCTAAAGTATAATGGACTCATCATGATGGTTGGCTTCTGACATTATACATATGGCTTTCACCTAAGGCCTACAAATTTCAGAAAGCAATAGGCTCTTTACCGTAACATAGTTTAGGTTTAGGAAATAGTCAGATACATGTATTCCTTTCACAGCGTAGCTGGGTATAAGTGGTCAAAGGCTGCTGGCTTTGCAAGGCAGTGCCTGCATCTCCTTTACTGGGGCAGGTGCATCCGTCCTTTTCCTTGTGTCACAAAACAAAATTCAAAATCTCTGCCTTATGAGAAGCAAGCAGTATGGGAAAAGATCTACCACAGGTTTGACTGATTCCAGCAAAAGTGCTGTGTTTTAAAGGAATAATAGCAACTCAGATTAGCAGAGCAAAACCCAAGCTCCATAAGATGGCCTGCCTAGAAAACAGTTTATTTTGCTGCCTTTGGGCTTTAATTAAGATGTGTTCAATTCTAGCCCCTGGCTCCCCTCTCCCCCTACCCCCATCCCTCTTGCTGTGTCACAGACCACCGATCAGACGCTTTCAGATGGTCCAGCCCATGACTTTGACCTTCTGCATGGTCTGGCGTTCCCTGGGGAACCGTTCAGCTCATGAGGTCTGATTTCACACTTCCAGGATGCCTCGGCTCTCATAACAATGACAGGGAGACAAAGCCCTTTAGAGTGGGCTGCATGGGGACTTGTTTAAATTGGAAACTAGAGAGGAGTCAAGGAACAAGGTTACAGGCTACCGAATAGTGCTTTTAATAAAGAGCTCACAGCTCTGGTTCAGCTCAAAGAGGGCTACCTCTGTACAATTAATTGAGACATTTATCGGGAGCATCTTAGGCCTCCACTTTCTCACAGAATTATGTGGTAAATATCAGCTAAGAGGCAAATGAGATGTGCATGAAATGAATTTTTAACACTTTGATTACTGTGTCTCCAGTCTTCATTAAAAGTGAATTTATTTGTATTTCTGACCTCATTAATAATCAATTGTTTGCATTTTTTCTGTGTACTGTAATTTCAGAACCTGGTATATCAGATGGACTTTACTGTGATATTTAGGTCTGCAGTCGAAATTTTCAGGCTTTTCCTCCTCTGAAAAGTAGAAACTAAGCATAGAAAATTAGTTAGATTTTTGTTTTATTCTTTTTTTTTCCAGTTTTATTTCTGGAATTCAACCTCTCTTCTAAGAAAATTCCATGTAAAATTTTGATTACAGTACTTGAAAGTATGATGAAGACACCAAGATGGCTAATTGTGCAAAATGTAAATGATTTTTCTAAAATCTGTTCTGCTAAACTGTCTTAACATCACATCTTTGAAATTGTTCTTCTGATGCTAGGAAATATCAGAGTACACAAAGGTATGGAAGCCCATGCATGTAAAATTGAAGAAATAAATTTTCAGTGGCCCTTTGGAAATACAGTTCCAAAAGTAATTTGCTCTGTCAATTAGAGGCAAACATATTTCAATATACACTTGAACTATCTCCGCTAAGTATGGAAATCTAGTAGATGAGCAGGACTTTTATCTGTCTATGGTAGATAAAGTGTCACCAAGTCCTGTAATATAGGTTGCCTGAAGACTTCGGTCCATTATCACATACTGCAAAACTAGTGTTTTTTCAAGTACCATTTCTAGGATAGTAATGGCAAAATTAGGATTTAAAAGATATTTTAAAAAGACATTTTATTAAAAGATATTTTTTGTAACCATAGCATTTACAATTAAATTTACACTGAAAGGATATCTTGTGATTATTAAATTTTCTTTTTCTGTAAATACTCTGTGGAGATGAGTTCAACTTGGTTATGGCACTACACTACCTTGCTTGGTAAGACACCTCAGGCATTCATTA